TAAAGATACAAATAATCCAACATGGAATCAAAAATTTACTTTGTAAGGTCAATTTTCGCTATTATGATTTTCATCTTTTCTATTATTTCAGTAATTTACAAAACAAGACTGATTATTTACATCTCCATGTGTATGATGATGATGCCATGGGTCGAGATTCGATTGGTTCAGCCAAAATTGATTTGAAAAAACATGTATTTGGAAAGGAATGTTATAATGCATGGGTCACACTGCCGAGTATGCTTGGTCTTCGTTCTAAAGGTGAAATTCATGTCATTATTAAACATCATACAAAAAATTAATTGCTCTTTTTTTTCTTCTACTTTCAAATGTAGTTTTGATGTTTGTTGTGTTTACTAATTATAATATACACTTTGTTATATATGCATGTACGAGTCAATTTCAGTAGTGAAACGAAGAGTATTCATTTTTCTTTGTTTTAATATATTTTTTTAATAACTAAAAGATTTGACCAAAAAAAAATCTCAGAATAATAAAATGATAATGTCAAGAAAAAGCTATGTTACCATAAAAATATCTCTTCGAAAATAACTTGCATTTCGTATATACAAAATCGAATCAGTTTATAATAATAACGCACAGAAAACATATACAACTGTGTTATATGATGATTATTGATATGTATAAATGAGCTTGCTAACATTTGATCAATTAATCACGTACTTTTCACTTTTAATGGAGTATAATAACCTTTTTTTATCTTGATTACTTGACAAGGTTTGAATTTATTACTAACTAAACCAAATAATAAATCTTGTATTTGGATCTCTTTTGTAATTTTTTAATTTAATGTTTCTTAATAAGATATTATTGGAATTATATGATGTTCTGTTAAATTTATTTGATTATTACAAGGGTATATGTAGGTATAGTCTTAATCTCTCATCTACACTCACACCCAAAAATGAAATGAAAATTATTTTCACTAAAAAATGTTCACTTGACATTATTATCATCCAGGTCTAACGTAGAAAAAATCATGCGCATTCGTGTTTATTCATATTTTTATCGGATAGATGCAGTAAATCTAGTATTACTACTGCCACTTCCTCCATAAGCCATTTTTAGTCGAAAAGATATTGTGTAAGTAATACCAATGGTGGTCGAAAAGGCTTGGCCTAGAAAAACAACCGCACCAGTACCAGAGGTATCAGGACAATCGGCCAAAAAGCAGTTACCAGTTGATAAATAGCAGTTAGTGCCATAAGTTGCTTGCCCACCAGCACCTGCACTACATGTTGCATTACACGATAATACCCACCCATTCAACTGTGTGGTTGAATTTTCAAAACCGGAATTTTGAAGTAACTGAATAGATGGCACAGTAGCCTTGGTGACAGATACACTGTCTAAAAAATAGTTACTATTCAAATCGGTTTCGAATGCAAACATAAGAATTGGTGATGTAGTCAATGCTACATAGCTGTAATTGTATTGAGTATAAAAAGACGGATTTGTTCCAGATAGAGATATAAAAGCTCCAGAAGTAATACTGTTTCCGCCAGTACATATCATTACTACAACCAATTGTAAAAATGAACAATATTGATACTAATAAACTTACCTGTTGTCGTTGTAGTAGTTGTCGTTGTGGTAGTTGTTGCTGTACTCGCTACAAACAGTGAAAATTATAAATATCAATTCATAGTTTGAAGAGAGACGACATTTTTTGCATATTAGCACCGATAATCATGCTGATACATGTCTTTTTACTACATCTATACTGAAATTTATTCAGAAAACTACAAATGTATCATCTAATTTTGTGTGGTGAGAAGCAAAACCTGATGTCGAGTGTGTCTTATTAACATTTCTAGTTGTATCTGAACTTTTCGATAATAGTTAATTGCTTGTTATACAGAAAAGTTTCTAGATAACTTGATACATGAACACTACTTACTTGTTACACTTGTGGTAGTAGTCTTTGATGTTGTCGAAGTCGTCGCTGATGTTGACGATGTTGTCGTTGCTGTACCTGTTATAAATGTAGGATCATACGTAATTAGTGTATTTCAAAAAAATAAGCTCACTCGTCGTAGAACTTGTACTTGTACTAGTCGTTTTCGAGGCTAAAAATCAACATTAGATTAGAGTGATTATGATGTTAATAGTAATGATTTCCTACTGGTTGAACTCGAGCTTGTACTAGTAGTTGAACTTGAACTTGAACTAGTACTTGAAGTCGAACTAGTACTAGTACTTGAAGTCGTGCTTGTACTAGAAGTTGAAGTCGCGCTTGTGCTGGTAGTTGATGTCGTACCTATAATTAACAATTGTAGGATATAGACGTGACGATAGACTAATACAGAAACTGTGCTATAAATCTTGATGATGACATTTTCTTCAGTTTTTTATAATTCTAATTGTATTTCTCTTGCTGCTGTGATGTACAATACTCATTATATTAATTAAGATTAACATTTTAAAATCATTATCGTATTCTGCCTTGATTTTTATCGATATGAAAATTAAATTGAAAAGTAGTTATTCTGATTCTTGAAAATAATCATTGAGTTGCTTCAAAATAATATATTCATAATTAAATTTACATATTTTATGACAAAGAAAATTCAATTATTATTTTTATAATAAAGTCCTAGATTATTTGTATTTATTTTAAAAATAATTACTATGCGAACTCCTTCACAAACGGCTCATCAGTACGTGAATGACTGTGCATATTCCTTAAGAGATGATGAATAATTCTTGTTTGATGTATTATTCTGTATATTTCAACGTAGGCAAGAATTTATCGTTACGCGCCTCGAAGATAATTTCTATAGTTTCTCTTCTTAACAATTTCAGTTATTTCAACTAGCACTACTCACTCGTTGCTGTCGTCGATGTTGACACCAATGGCTTGGGTACTATTTTCAATCATTTAATTAAATGAAAAATTAGATAAATATGAAATATCGTAAAATGTATACACACATAACATAACAACAAGTATGCTAGCGATTGCAGCCAAGAGCAAAGCAGCACAAAGCAAACTACAAAACAAAAGCCATGCTGGTGCCAACATACGTTTTCTAAATAGAGTGAGCCGAATAAATAACAAGTTATGTAAAAGTTTTATCGAATAATAATTCTTGTTTTTTTTTAAACTTGCTCAAAAATAATCTTAAGATATATTACTTTAGAAATAAACAGTAGTTTATAAGTTTTAAATGTATGGTAGAAAAGATGACCTACTTTTTTCGTTTTTTATTCGCTTGAGATTTTTGATC